TAAAAAAAAAACCTGATTGGATTTTGTGAATCTGTTTCTTCTAATTGCATCACCCAGTCTCCTCTAGTTTTGATTAAAAGACGCACACGGTGTCCACTGGTACTGAATCATTGCGGCTGCAGAAATGTCTGGGTTTTGTTTTTTGTTTGTTTGTTTTTTTAGGCTGCATTTGCACTACGTACAGTAGTCCTCCTTTCCTGCCCTTTAATTACATGTGCTTAATAATCTGCCCCTGAGAGCGCTTTACTTTGTCTCAGCATCTCAACTCTTCTCTATCATGCTTGCTTGTCTCTTTCAAACACCTTTGGGCAGCACTCTTCCATAGGAGCATTAGGATCATAATTTTATGCATCTTGTAGTTTAATTGGAACAATTTGTTAACTGCGTAACACAATTTTCATAAAGGCAGCTGTTTAAGTGCCCTGCTTAAGCCTGGGTCTCTGTGTACTCTAATGATGCTAATCAAACAAACGGGGCACATGGTACCCACTGAGTTCTCCTTAATTGAGCCTGACTTTAAAATCCTAAGTAAAACAGACAGTCTTCCAGTGTAAATGCTGTCGTCCTGTGCACAGTTTTTAAAGTGACTAATGGTGAATAAAGTTTTCCGAGGAGGAGTTGGTAGGTTTTACCTGTCCTCAAACTGCTGTAGCGTTTAATTTCTTTTCCAGTTTGTGCTCCAGAGTTTGTAGTGAGCCGTTTCACTTTGCGTCTTTGTACGTCTAAGTGTGACGTGCTGCTTTCAGAGGTCACTTTAAAATAGGTTTTCCTGGAGTCCTGGGAGCGTTGTGCTGTTACAGCCTTACACTGTACATCAATCACCTGTTAGAGATGATATTCTGTAATTATATTCTTCCAGTCCTGTTCTGACAGCTCATCACTGCACTGAGTGTACGGAGTACTGATTTTTGCACTTCAGTTTTATTTTTTGTCTGCACACTGGTAATCTGAGTACAAGGTTTAATCCACGGAGTGGGTTAAAGACTCGGGTGGAGATGCAGCTACACAGGGATGTTTTTCATAACATGGGTACATCTGAAAACAAAGATGTGTCTTCAGTTTTGGCTTCAGTCCACACTTAAGTAACAATGCTGCAGTTCTAAGTCTGTTTAATAATTTCTTTTATTAAAAAATATCAGCAGGGAATTCTAGGCAGAAGGAAAAAGTGCAGACCTGCCTGATTTCAAACTTGGGTTTTTGTTTTGTTTGTTAAATTAAATTGTTTTGTTTCCTCCTCAATAACTTCCATTAATATACTGAAGTACTATAAACATATGCTGCAGTATATGTTTATAATGCTTTTCTTGGATGGAAACCTTTGATGTGCAAACAGCATTTTCAGATGTATCCATGTAAATGTGGATAATATTGAACATTTAGTTAATATACAATTGTCTTCGATTCATTCAACATGATACATGTAAACTAATATTTTTTTTAAAATGATGAAATTACTGGAAAACCAAATTGTCATTTGGACTGAAGAACTTTAACTTTAATTCTCTTTGGACAAACCTTTTCAAGCTGTTAACTTGGGTAAAGGATGGTACACAAAAACATAATTATTTATTAAATCTGAGTATAACGGCTACTTTTTGCACATTGTTGTGAATGTAAATGTGATTGTGATACTCGGACAGGTAAATGATGAGGCTTTCTGTCGTGTACTTGTTCAGTTCAGCTCTGTTCATAAATAACAGTTGAAGGTCAGCTCATTTAAATTTACAGAACACGTTTTCATCTCACTCCTTCTAATGTTCTGTAAAACCAGGAGTGCTGACTGACATTCGCTCTCATATTTCATGTTTCCACAAATGTATGTCACAGTGGGGTAATTCACTTACTGCTCAACCTGTTTTTCTGCTTTCCAGTTTCCCCTGTGATATGTCTACAGTTCAGATGATGAATGCTCATAATAAACATCAGCAACATAGAAATAATCCCTGTAATTCAAAACCCCAGGTTTCAGATTGCTCTAAACAGCAAGTTTCAAGTCTTTTTTTTTTTTTTTTTTTTTGGGGGGGGGGTGTTCTCCTCAAATTTAAATGAATGATGTCAATCAGGGTGGATACCCCAAATATGGTCATCTTAGGTACAGGGCTCTGGCTGTGACCACAGAGGCCCCACCCACATGCTGCGTGTGTGTCAGGGACAGCCAATTTAGAGGGTTTGATTCAGACACAGGATGAATTGAGGGGCTGAGCAAGTGTCCAGTCTAAGATAAATGGGATCATTTGAAATTGAGAACTGTGTAAATCCACTCTAGTACAGTCCAACGGTAAAACCACGGAGCTGGAAATTCACTGTAATGTTCTGTGAACTGTTCAGCTTTTAAATGTCCAAAGGTTTCTCTTCTTTTCTGATTGTCAAATATTTAGAATCATGATTGTACAGGGTCATTTTATGTTTGAAGATGACATTTCAATTTTTTTTATTTTTTTTTATTTTGGCTGATCTTATGTGACAATCTGTAGATTTGTCTATTTATTCGACTGTCTTCAGTTAACCTGAAGTCAAGACATGTTTATTTTATTTGTTTGGGTGATTTTATTTAGACTGTTCAGGTGCTATGTGTCAACCACATTATTTCACATTTTCGGGCCTAGTAATTTTTCCCACCGGTGTGTGCCATGTTGTTATTTATTTTTACTCTTATTAACAAAACTAAAACACTGTTACACTGACTTAACGGCCAATAATTTAGTGTTAAATTTTGAGCATTTGGCATCAATGATCTTTGTGATGCAGGGGAAATGGGTTTTTCTGGACACGTAGTGTATTGTTTTTATTGTTTAGTCATACTTCATGAAAACATGTAATTGAAGGCTGGATTTCATCTATTAAAGGCAATGTTTCTTGTCCTGATGGGTCCGGACACACTTAAATTTCATCATTTTACTGTTTAAAGTAACTTAATTATGAAACTTTGTAACTGCCAAATTTTCGTCTTCTTTTAAAGTCTGAAAGCAGAAGAAAATCTTTATTTTGTAAGTGTTCTCTTCACTCCCACTGATCATTTGCACATTTATTTGTGATTAGCTTGTATCATTGCTGTATAAAGACATCTTTCTTTCTTCTTTCCTTTCTTTCTTTTTTTTGACAGAATATAAACTCACTGTTCACTTATTATTAAAATATAAGCTGTGATTATTAATTTTGTGTGTTTGTCAGTTGATAAAATCTATTTCATGGATTTTTAAAAAAATTTATGATGAATAAAAATGTATGTAAAAGTAGATGATATAAGTAAATAACAGTAACTTTTTATTAGTATTGGTAAATATCATTTGTTCTCTTGGGGGAGAAAAGTTATGTGCTGTCACATTAATACCACATCTAAGAGTTAAAAATTATATAGAGAGATTTTTTTAGATATTTAAAGTTTTAGGCAGGTGAGGGAAAAATGCTGTAAACAAAGAATGCTTTCAAAAATGGAAGTGTTAATCATTTATTTTCATTAATCAACAAAATGCAGTGAAGGAACAAAAGAGAAATCTACATCAAATCTATATTCTTCTAGGTACACTTGCACACAGTTTTTGAAGAAACTTGTTTGGTAGATTGTTACAAACATCTTGGAGAACTAAACACAGATCTTCTGTGGATGTAGGCTTCCTTGCATCCTTCTGTCTCTTCATGTAATCCCAGACACACTCGATGATGAGATCAGGGCTCTGTGGGGGCCGTACCATCACTTCCAGTACTTCTTGTTCTTCTTTATGCTGAAGATAGTTCTTAATGGCTTTGGGTGTTTGTTTGGAGTTGTCATCCTACTGCAGAATACATTTGGGGCCAATAAACAATCATTTATATTTCTTAAAGCATTCTTTGTTCACAGCATTTTTTCACACCTTCCTAAAACTTTTGCACATATGAGAAGAGATATTTATATAGCGAGCAAGAGAGCAATATCAAAGGATCAGCAACATGGAAAAGACTAAACCCCAATGGTGATGCACACAACTGTGAAGCTTACTTAGGTCCCCAGTGATACATCTTCAAGGTTCAAGGACTGGATGAGGGATGGGGTAAGTGAAGCAGAAAAAAACTAACAAGGAGACAATCCCTGTTTTATTAGTGAGGTTAAAAGGAAAAGCAAAAATGTGTGTTTGAAGTAGATTGCATGACTATTTGTCATGTTGAAACCTGAAAAAAACCAAACAGATTTTCTTGTTAATAGGATAGTTGACCGATTAATCAGTTTATCAAGAGAATAATTTCCAGGCCTACTTAGAGGAAGGTTTCACTTGCGTGTACAAAAAAAGGATCTGTTTGTTTCACTCATTTTCCCAAAATTGAGGCAACAACCTTGGACCTGTCTGATAAACTGTTTGGAAAACTTACATTGGTATCTCACAGCTGTGTTCCCCGCCTCTGGCTTTCTGTGCACTGTAATGGTTTTTGCCAGGCCTGTGGCACAATTGCTTCGCTCATGTATGAAAAGACATGACGTGGCAGACGTGTTAATTTATCACGTTATTCCTTTCATCTTCATCATATCACCGTATATAGTCAGGTGACAAAATAGGCTGTTCGTGAACGCCAAACAAATGAATAACAAAAATATATGTATTGTTCTTTTTCCTTGCAAGCTACATATTTATTGTATAAAAGTAAATAATCAATTACAAGCATGATTAGAGTCACATTTAAAATACATTTAAGAACCGTCTTGCACAACAGTATCACCATAAATAAGTGAAAGTGATTTTAAATGAAACTGACTCAACAAAATAAATATAAGTTGTAAAAACAACTTTTTCAGTCTTGCACCATCATCAGAAATGCCTCTCTTCTTATGTGCTGATGAGCTGAGAAATGTAAATATTCTCTCTGCTTGTACTTTATGGACAGATTTAATGTAGAAGTCTGTTCCTGCTGCACAGAACTGTTCACACATTTCATTGAATTTGGGGCATTTTAACATTGAAGAAGTGCAGACAGGGCGTTGTTTACATTTTAACCCTGAGAGGAGTCATTAAGTAAATCAGCATCAGCTGTGGCAGCTGGTTGCACAGCTGAACGGTGGTTTTATTAAAAACTCTTTTAGAATTTGATTTGAGTGAGGTTTCACTGCTGAGAAGGGTGCTGCTGCGTTTGCACATTTAGATGCATGTGGATATATTTGTGTTTTGGTGTCTTTGATGAAGCTGCCTTACAATTCAAGCTGAGTTCTCTGTTGAGCTTCAGCAGCAAATATGTTTGCTTGAATTGTTTGGTTTGGTTTCCAGTTTGCTCTGGATGTTTTTATTTTCTGTGGTACTAGGATCCCTACATGCGTTTTATCTGAAGAGATAATTTTTTTAAAATTACGGTTTCAGTTTGCTGTGCTCGGTAAGTGTGTCGCCATGAAGGAGGAAATTGCTGCCGCTGTGTTCTTTTTGGCTCGGCTGGTGAAGAGATACGGATGTCTGGACAATGACAGCAGAGAGCGCTTTGCTGCTTCCCTCACCTCCCTTCTGTTTGAGAACTACAAGAACCACTGGCACCCAAGTGCACCCGCCAGGGGTCAGGCCTACAGGTCAGTAATCCAAAAGCAATTTTTTTTTTTTTTTTTTGGTTGTTTCAAAATGGCTTCTGCTTCTGCTTCCCTTTTAAAAATGAAAAGTTAACCAAACATAATATTAAAAATTAAAACTCAATTAAATTTAAGAGGAAAAACTTTGTTTCAAAGCTTGAATGTGTATCCATTTGGCACTCTCCTTTTAAGTTGTATGGATTTACTATAAGACAAGTTGGTTGGGGACCCACAGGAAATCAGATTATTTGATCAGAAATAAATGGTTAAAAATAAAATGATTTAAGTATTTTTCAGACTGGTGGCTTATGTACATGTACTGCATCCAGAGTGTTATTGCAGGCATGTTAACTTTGAACATAAACTGCCTTGAGGTGACTGTTGTTGTGATTTGGTGCTGTATAGATAAAAATGAAGTGGCTGAGTTGGAGCCTGAGAACCTTTTTGTAGTGAACAGCTGTTTTGTAAAGTATCTATCCTTAGGTAAAGGTCTCGCTGCTGAAATAATGTTAAATGTTTCTCAGTCAAAATTCTTAATGAATATGTTTGCTTTAGTAACTTTATGTTATTTTGTATATTTTGATACAATTACTGATTTTATTTTTAATGAATGTCACTTTAATGTTGCAGCTGCTGATTGTATTAAATGTACTTGGCTATAAAGTATCCAAATCTTTAAAATTGTAAGGTTATGAAACTCTTTCTGCCTTCAGAAATGCAACAAATATTATGAACCCACTTTGTAATTGAAAGTATTGATTCTTTACTTAAAATACCAACTGTTATACTTGAGTTATTTAACCTTGTAAATGATCAAAACACCTGGAAAAACACTTGTAATGCTCCACTCTACTGGCCTCAGTAAGAAGCAGGACTGCAGCTCTCAGGTTTATTCACAGGAATATAATGGATATCAATCTAAATGTTGGCGGGTTAATTTTAAGCTTTGCTCAGCTGCTCAGAAAAATGCTTGACTTAGAATCTGCTCACTTTATCTGAGCAACCAAAGGAGAGGTCTGAAGACTCAAAGTACAAGACTCCTTACGGTGGTGCAGGGAGTAGAAACCAGCACAATAGAAATACATTTGCATTGCAGCTGTGCTTAAGTAAAGTACTGGAGTAAATGCACAAAGTTGCGTTCCACTGCTCACTTTGAGTGGTGCTAGACCCTGTAATATTAGGTGTTGTCGTGGGAAATACCCCCCCCCCCTCTTTTTGTGCTCTAATTAAAATAAATGGGGCTTGCATTGCACACTACAGGCGACTCTATAGTTCAATATTCTGCATTTTCTCATTTGATTCGGGACATAAAGAAATCGTACAATTTTAGGATTCATGAAAGAGATCTTCAGTTTGTTTTTGTACCATTTAAAGAACTAATGTGCTGATGCTATTCCTAATTGTCTGGCTTTAAACCACCTTTAACTGTCACCAACTACTACTCTTCCATCTATATTTTAATTGGATTTTTACTGGACTTGATATCTTGGTGACATGTGAAATTGCAACACTATTTAAAAAAAAAAAAAAAAAAAAAAAAAAAAAAACTTTCTTTGAGCTGCCCGGTGTTTTTCAGGTGTCTGCGTATGAACAGTGTTCGGCTACAGGACCCGGTGCTGGAGCAGGTCTGCGAGCGGAGCGGGGTGAGGTACGAGGACCTGGGCCTGCCCCAGGAGCTGACAGTGTGGGTCGACCCTGGAGAGGTGTCCTGCAGGTTTGCTTTAATCATTAGTCACCTTGCATTTGTGCGACGCTGCAGGTTACATTGTTTCAAAGTCCTCAGTCCTTTTTGGTTTCACATCTAACTTACTAACCAGATGGTGATATCATTAAGACATGAATAACCATTTATTTTAATGTCAGTTTAAAAGCAGAGTTTGAAGTAAATGCTTAATTATAATCTAATTATTGATCATCCACACAGTGACAAGACTTGAGGAAAAGTGCAAATAAATTGGTCTAATCAACTTTTTTTTTTTTTTTATATGGCTCAAACAGGTGGTGATATGATTAGTTAGCAGTGTCTTCATGCCAAAGCTAGAGCTAACAAGTGGTTCAGCGAGTTACAAACCTAATGTTGAATCAATAAAACGAGTGTCTTTCTATAATACACAAAATCTTTATCTCAACTTCTCCTAGACCACCAGGAGTTAACAGCCAAACTGAAGGTTCTTAGCTATATCAATATACCATTGCATTGGCTGACAACCATTTAGCACGAAGATAAAATGACCTGTTTTTTGTTAACTATTTTACCTTGTGCATCTACCACACCTATAGTTGTAATTTCATTTTTACAAATAAGCATCGGATTACTTGTAATTAAGTTTGTCATGGGCATGTACTAATATATTCATAGTTGTGTACTTGATCATTGCTGCTAAGGGAAGGAATGGATTGTGACTGAAAAGGGCTGATTTGGCTTCCTTACTGGAGCTTTTTTTGTCCTGATTTCCTGCCACTAAACTAAAGATATGTGAAGCACATGAGTCGGGCTGATGTTGTCACAGCTCTGGCAGGTTTCTAGAACATTAGGACAAGGAGTGGTGGGGGAACAAATGTTTAGAGCAGTGTTAAGGTGGAACTTCTGGCCTCATAATGGAAAAGCCCTTTATTGTCATTGTACATGTACAAAGAAATCGTGAAACCTGAATTTGCCGTCAGTTTCTAATTTTCTTTTGAATCCCTGCAGGTATGGTGAACACAGCAGTCCATTCTGCGTCTCAGTGGTGGACAACTGTCGGCGCGGTGATGGGGAATTATCCCGCCGCATCCATGAAGCTGTGGAACGGGCGAGTCTCGAGGTCCCATCAGGAAGCTCATCAGATGAGGATGAAGATGGCGGTGGAGACAACAGCATGAGCATGAGTACCAGCAGCAGCAGCCTTTCAACCCTCTGCCCTCAAATCCCACCCATGAACAGTGAACCCAAAACCATTCCGACTGTTAGCAACCCCAACAGTGTTTACAGGGTGAGTTCAATATATGAAATGCAGGACAATTTAAAGCCTCCCAAGCTTGTTTTATGACGATGATGATGGTAGTGTTTTATATCTTAACATATTCATTCTCTGTAAGCTCATTAACATGAGACTTGGAAAAAGTAGGCTTCCTGAAAGTGCAAGTTGATTGACCATCTTCAGGAGCAGGTTTTTAGCCAAAAAAAAAATAAAATGTAATTCTGCTGAATAACATTTTTAAAGCTAGAGCTTTGCAAAGTATTTTTAGTAACTTCTCTAAGAGATCTCAGGTTTTCTAAATGACTTTGTTGTACCTGTCTTCAGTTCAGCGAGTTCTCTCCAGGTGCCCCTCAGAGCTGGCTGAGGGAGAAGCGGAAAGGCTTTCCAGGAGACATGTTCCCACCTCATGGCGCTCCTGCTGGAGCCCACTTCTCAAGCCAGAAAGGCTTCAGATCCTATCGAGCCACGTTCACCTTCACTGGGCCTCGTGTTGACAAGTACCACTGGGTCAGCAAATCGCGATCCTAGCCTTAAAGCTACAAACCAGAATCTGGTTCCTGCTGATGTCGGATTTAGGCCACACACTTTGTACATCTTTTAAAGGATAAGCTTATTTGTACCTGATTTAAAGTAATGCTGTTTAAGTATGTTTTTAAGATGTGAAAATTGATATTTTAAATAATTCTTCACTCTAATTGTCTTTTTTAAATTAAAGTGTGAATAAAGTAACATTGACCTGTCATTGAAAAGAAATAAATAGATTCATGCCAGCTCTACTGGCCATAACATGTCTTGTTTTGGTTTTTTCTCCCTCTCTTAAACAGTTTTAGTTAACCTAACATTTAGGACTTTTAGATAAAACATCCAAAAGTTCTTTGAAAAACACTGAATCTATATTTACCTGTAAAGCGGGTCAGTCTGGAAGGAAATACAGCTGCGCTGGTGTGTGTGGTGGTTGTACTGGTAGTGTAGTTAGTGATTAGCGTGTAAGAACAATCAGCTAACGACACTGCCTATACAGCCACCCCAATCACACTGACCATCAGAAACTTGTAATCTTGCAGTAAATGCTTGTTGTAATAAAATGTATATTTTTGTCCCCTTTAGCTTGCCTTTTGTCAGTTTCATTTTTACTCTTCATTGAAGGCCCTTGTGCAGTGTCTGGTCCTGGTGTCACACCTGCAATATTTTTAGCAGAAGTGCAGGAGACCCTTTTCTTGCATAAACCTTGTTTCTGATACCTTACGAGATTGCCCATCTGCATCACTGAACGGCACAGGAAATCATTCCTGAATTCGGCCATCTCTCTCTGCAACCCATCCAACTAAGCAGAGTGTGCAATAGATGCACAACCTTAACATTTGCACATCCTCTACAGTGAAAATAGTTATATAGTTACAATTCCAATGTCAATCATATATAATCTGCGTAATATTCTGAGATTTTTATAATTTTTGTTATATTTTGTAACTTTGTATTTAATTTAGTTCAGTCAGTTAAATGGAACCACATGTGATTTTCCCACTTCTTAAAAAACAAACAAAAAACCCCACTCACACCTTCCTTCAGGTAACATCAATAAAGCACATCGTGGGATGGGGCAAAGTCTCACAGTGGTTTCACCTTTAACCCCCAGTGACGGTAATGACTCGTTTTTGTTTTGTTTTGTTGATTTTGTTTTTTCCCCCCAGACCTTGGCTCATGTGATGACTCGCATGATGAATAGCAGGTCAACGAGCTGCCAATACCTGGGACTGTCTGCCTTTTATTTTTAGAACAGAAGTGTTTTGGATACAAAGGGAAATGTCTTCACAATCTCAAGCAGCCAGCTGCCCACTTTTTTCAAGCTCTTATAATAACCAATGCTTCCTCTGACAGGATTTTTTTTCTTAAATCCTCCAATGGTGTGCAGTGGTTATCCCAGAAAGCAGATTATGTTTATCTGGAAGTTGTTCTGGTGGTTAACATGTTTTACAATTAAACTGTTGCTGGTTCAATTCCGGCCAAAGACAAAAATGTCTTCATTATTCATTATGAAGCGTATCTGGCATAAAACTATTTGAATCAAACTTGCAGAGCTCCTGTAGTGAACCTTTGGGCAAAGGAGCAGCCAGAAGTAGCTTAAATATGTTGTTTAGGGCAAATGAGTACATGCAAATTACAACACAGTTTTACAATGTAATAGTGTGTGTCAAAAATAGCTTGAAGCATTAGCAAATGCCATTTTCATGTTTAGTAAATGTAAGGGTACAGGGAGCAGATTACTCAGACTGGAAAAACAGGGAATCTGTAACCCTGTCCTGACCAGAAGGTGCCGGATCTGTTTATCAAAACATCCAAAATCCACCACTTAATCCATACGCACTTTATAAATCCCGACAAGCAGAAGTGCAAAAAGCCTTTTTTTTCATGTGATTAGCTCTGAGCAGTTACCAGGCAACCTTCAGACACTCCAGGAGGGAGCTCAATAAACTAGTCCTATACTTCTGTAAAAGAGTGAAGTCACCACTTTGCAAAGCCACGTCTATGCCTTCTAATGCATTTTTGCCGTGGAAAAAAAAGTTTGAATGAGTCACATGCAGTAAGAGATCATTATTAGAACAACAAAAGCAGTCACACTGTCTAAGACAACTTTTCTCACTCTTATACTTGGTCTTTGGTAACAACGTATGGGCCTTAGCACCACAACCATACTTTTTGTGTGTGCGTATGTGCAAGAAACAGGTTGTGTCATGTTTTAATCTGTTTCTATAAAGCAATGACTTCTTAAAAAGTTAATATTTGATGTAAAGACAAAGTCTAATACGTAATTTTAGTTAAAATTAATTAACAATACCCACTCCAGTTAAGGATTTTTAACTTTTTTATTTATCCACATCTACAAATCTGGAAAATCCACATTGCAGGGAAAAGGAAGACAGGGACATAAAGCTCTAATTAGATTATTATTGCTGAGTGAAGATCCAAAAAGGGTTGAGGTTTGAGCCTGATGGCCTTTCCATCCTCCATTTCCAAAACAAACTCTTCAACTGGCATGTCAGTCATGTTACACATTTAGTATAGTGCATAATCATTACTTTGACACAACTGGATGGATTAAGTAAACTTGGAAAATATTTTTACTGAAAAAAAGTAGAAAAAGAAAGAATTTAGTCATGTTTAAAATGTGCTGCGTTCTTACCTGTCGTTGCTGCAGTTCTCGTTCTGTTTACAAGTGACCACTGCTGAAACACAACTGTCTCCACAGATACCCTTTACTGTGTGTGTGTATGAGTGTGTGTGTGTGTGTGCCCATGTTGTACGTGCCTCAACTTGCCCGATAAAGCAGTAAACAGTCGTCCTGACCACCAGGACTGGCACGTTTTGCCCTATTTACAAATCCCCAGCACTCTTGTGTTTTAAGTACATTTGTTTCTACCCCACATTATTTGGCTCTGGTGTAAATGAAGAATCACTCTCTGGCCTGTAACTATAGTTTAAACCTACTTTCCCTCAATTTCCTACAGATTACAACTCCTGAATGGAAAGATTTTCTTTAACACAGGGGTGGTGTTGCATGAGAACCTGGGGCTGTTGTGGAGGTTCTGCAAGAATAAGTTGACCTGAGTCCTGTTCACTATTATTTTTCTCTGTATGTGAGCTTTTTTGTGTGGGATGTGTCAAATGCTGAAAAGTGTGCTTTGTTGTATTAATGAATTATTGTGGGGGAAATTGACAGTGATACAGTAGTCATTAAAATTTGTTCAGAATTTGCTAATTTAATCAAATCAAATCACTTTTATTGTCACATCACATGTGCAGGTACACTGGTACAGGACATGCGAGTGAAATTCTTGTTTGCGAGCTTCACAAGCAACAGAGGTGTGCAAAAATACAATACCATAAGAACAAGCAAAATATAAGAATGGCTAAAGCTGAGAGTTATATGAATAAATATATGTACAATATAAGAGTGTATGCATTACTGAATGTGTATACTAAATATGTTTTTCTACGTGTGTGTATATATAATAATAGTGTATACTTTATTGATCCCCGTGGGGAAATTATTTGTTTTTCTCTGCATTTGACCCAACCCCCAACCACTCTACCTACTGAGCTATCCCTGCCCTCCTGGATTGGGCACCGTTCCCGGAGGCGCCAGTGGGTCAGTGCGCTGATCTCCTCCCTGTAAGCCGTCTCATCACCGTTGGTGATAAGACCCACCACTGTAGTGTCGTCCGCAAACTTCACAATGATGTTGGAATTGTTAGTGGCCGTGCAGTCATAGGTGTAGAGTGAGTACAGGAGAGGGCTCAGTACACACCCCTGTGGAGCACCAGTGTTCAGTGTGATGGGGGATGAGGTGATGCTGCCCAGTCTGACCACTTGGCGTCTGTCAGACAGGAAGTTAAGGATCCAGCTGCAGAGGGAGCTGCTCAGTCCTAGATCCTGCAGTTTCCTGTCCGGCTTCGAGGGAACGATGGTATTGAATGCTGAGCTGTAATCTACAAACAGCATTCTCACATACGTGTCTAATTAATGATGATTCATCTCATAAATCATGACACACTGCTCTCCTCTACATATGCTGCCTTTATAGGGTAAAAGTATTGGCATCAGCAATATTAGACCTATATTTGTATACGGATCAATGCTAAAATTTGCATTAGTGTAACACATCAATAAGTAACAGCCATGATCCACAAATGAAAAAACCTTCCCAGGAAGTGGACGGACAGTCCACCAAAATTATTGCAAGAGAGCATCAACGAGTCATCGAGGAGGTCACAAAAGAACCAAGAATAACCTCTAAAGAACTGAAGGCCTCACTTCCCCCAGTTAAGGTCAGGTCGTCATTCACCAATAAGAAAGAGACTGGGGGCAAAAATGCTATCCATGGCAGAGTTCCAAGACGAAACCACTGCAAAAGAACACAAAGGCTCGTCTCACATTTGCCAAAAACATCTTGATGATCCCCAAAACGTTTGGGAAAACATTCTGTGGATTGAGGAGACAGAAGATGAACTTTTTGGAAGGTTTAAGACCTGTTACATCTGGTGTAAAATTAACAGATTTCAGAAAAAGAATATCATACCAATAATCAAACATCGTGGTGGTAGTGTGATTGTTTAGGGTCACTTTGCTGCTTCAGAAGACTTGCCATAAAAAACCTATAGTTTGTATATATACTGCATGTACTGTCTATTTGTGTGTGTGTGTGTGTGTGTGTGTGTGTGTGTGTGTGTGTGTGTGCACAAACTTGGCCAAAGACAGATGATTCTGATTCTCAGCAAGTCCACCTCTAAAAGGCTAAAAAAGAAGGAGAAGAAGAAGAAGAAGGCAAAGAGTGTGTAGTCAAAGTTCAGACTTAAACCAGATTCAGGTGCTTTGGCATGACCGTAAACAGGACATTCAGGTTCAAAAACCCTCCAATCTGACTACATTAAAACAATTCTGTAAACCAGCGGTCCCCAACCTTTTTTGCGCCACGGACCGATTTACGCCCGACAATATTTTCACGGACCGGCCTTTAAGGTGTCGCGGATAAATACAACAAAATAAAACTAGTACTGTACCGAAAAAAAGAAAATTTATTCATAACACACGTGAAAAGACCCAGGAAAACCGAGTAAACGATAAAAACGATAACAAAATAACGCTGAAAACCGATAAAAACCCTGAAAACTATACATTTCACACCTGAGCCTCAACTCTCGCGGCCCGGTACCGAACGACTCACGGACCGGTACCGGTCCAAGGCCCGGGGGTTGGGGACCGCTGCTGTAAACTGCTTGCTTTTATGTTG